TTTAATTAATGGTGTTGAAATGAGTGTTAAATTGGTTCGATCAAGAGAGAGTTTTAATTTAATTGCTGGGTCAAACAATGTAAAGTTTAAAGTTTGCATTACAGATGCAACTCTTATTGTTCGACAAGCACGAGTTAATCCAAGTGTATTACTCGCACATCAATAAGTTTTAGCTTCTACCACTGCTAAATATCCTATTACTCGAGCTGAAGTAAAAGTTTTAACAATTCCATCGGGTGTTCAAGGAAAAACTCTTGATAATATATTTTTAGGACAGGTACCCGAAAGATGTATAATTGGATTTGTGAACAATTCTGCATTTAATGATTCCCTTACTAAAAATCCATTTAACTTTGAAAACTATGGTATTAATTATTTTAGCTTATATATCGATGGTCAACAAATACCTTCAATAGCTTTGTTTTGCTTAATCTTTTAATAATAGTATATTTACATCAGCATATCATACTCTATTCTCGGGAACTCGTATTCACTTTCTTAATGAAGGAAATGGAATCTCTTGTGAACAGTATGCGAAAGGTTACTGTCCATTAGCATTTGACTTAACTCCTGATTTATCAGCCAACTCATCAGCTCATTGGAATCTCATAAAGCATGGTAGTGTAAGATTAGAAGTACGATTTGAATCCTCACTAATACAAACAATTAACTGTATAGTTTATGCTGAGTTTGATAATATTATTGAGATAGATAAAAACAGAAATGTTACTGTAGACTATAGTAGTTAAGGTTATAATATGTGTAGTGTGTTAGATTTTATGAGTTATGTGTAATGCATTTTGTGTGTAAGTAACTATGTGAAACGTTATAAAATTAAATAAAACAAATTGTATGCAATATATTATTTTTTATTTCTTTATAAATCTTCTATTTAATCTAATACAAAACACTGTTCGAGTTTAAAGTTACATAGGACTCTCTCATTAGATCATCAATAATAACGAGATGTGGGTTTTCAACACCAAACATATTAAGATTTGGAATTCCTTGATGATAGTTAACATTTGGTAAATTATATAAAGGTTGCATTTCATCAAAGCACCATGTGATCTGATTAAAATCACAATTACATATTTCTGTAACTGATTTTATGAATTTTTTTACAAAATTTGACTTCCCACATCCACTTGGTCTTGCCACAATAGCAGTAAACGGATGTATAAAGTGAAACATTACACACGTCTAAAGTTCTAATGGGTGAAATAAAAAATGAAAGTGTTTGTGTAAACAATTAATATATATTGTGTACTAACTAATGTTTTTGGGAAATCAAACAAAATTTATGATTAATTGAAAATTTTATTTTCAAGCAATAACCACTTGTAAAAAACCCACACTTCGTCACAAGAACAATGTAAAATTTTGTGATTATTTTTTGCAAATATATGATTATTACACACATAACGTTTGTTTAAATTTATGACATTTACCAAATCATTGTATTTTGGACATTTGTATTCTTCAATATTAAAAATTCTATCATTCGTCGTCAACATTTTTAAAAGTTGTTTTTTTGTTGAACCACCTTTGTATGCGATCACTTCGTCTTTGCACAAATTTCTAATATACCAATTTAATATGGGGATGATGTTCTCTTGTTTGTAGGCACATTTTAATTCTTCGGTCACATCAAAATATGGAATGCCGTGCACGTGTGTTTCACAATAAAGAACAGTTTTTTTGTATTTTGGTGACAAATAATTGTAAGGATAACTTGGCCGAAACAAATAATGATCGATAAACGCATCATTTTTATTAGATAGTTTTACGTCTAGAATAGCCATTTCTCTACATTGAAAATGTTTATGAGGATATGTAATGTAAAATCCGTCCATGTCGATGATATATCTAATATTTTTTTAGATTTTTTGTCAGTTTGAACCAAAATGTTAGAAGTATTTACACGTGACTAAAAATATGTTTGTTCCAACAAACTTTACATAACAATGCTTCATTACTTCCCATCATCCCATTTCTTCCTTCTGCTCTTGTCTTTCTGTAATTTAAGTAAACAGATTCACATTCACTAATGATCAACTAATGACTATCATTGTTAAAAAAGTATTTTTTAACTACTCTAATATTCGTAGATGCGGTACACACATAATATTTAAATATAATTTGTTAAATTGCAAATAACAATTTAATTGGTGCCGTCGGGGATTGAACCCGTGTACTGTGAAATTTACAGCTTGCGCTAACCATCTGAGCTACCACGGCTTAATATAATACACACACAATATTTAAATATAATTTGTTAACACTAAATCATACACACGTAAGAAAATAACAGAAAGAAAAGTAAGTTTGTCAATAGAATAAACACTTAAAATTGCAATTAACAATTTAATTGGTGCCGGCGGGGATCGAACCCGGGTACTGTGAAATTTACAGCTTCCGCTAACCATCTGAGCTACCACTGCTTAATCATATAGACGCACACAATATTTAAATATAATTTGTTAACACTAAATCATACACACGTAGGAAAATAACAGAAAGAAAAGTAAGTTTGTCAATAGAATAAACATTTACATCCATGGCCTTTGATGTGTTGAAGTAACACAAATGTAGTATTGATAGATCCACTGCGGTCAAACGACCATACACTAACTCCATGACTGCACTTGCTTGGTCTTATATAGTACCAGTAAGTAATAATTCTAATCTAAAGAATTTCTGCTTTCTGAATTGATAGTAACTTTATGCGTCAACAAGCTTATCTCACATTTTGTTGCTTATCTCAACATTACTTCGTGTCGCGTCTTGTTCAGTGTATTGATGACTCAAATACGTTTTGTATAACACAAAATAATGCAATTTAATATTTAGAAATCACTATCATTAATGATCATTCATATGTTATTCATTGAGTAGATTGTACTGTAATAATCTACTAATAGCACTAATATCATGGATACACTAGATGTACAACAACATCTGAAAAAGATTCATCCCACTCTAGAAAATAATGTTTATACTGCCAATAAACTGCCCATGTACATCCACGTACCAACGTATATAATATGCAATTTGGATACAGATGATAAACCAGGGTCACATTGGGTAGCTTTATATATCGATACGAATGACGTCGGTCAATATTTTGATTCATTCGGACCAGCACCTGTACGATATCATCTAGAGTTTTTAAAAAGAAATTGTAAAAGATGGAACTGGAATTTTGATAGGATTCAGAATGAGTGGACTTCAGTTTGTGGCGAATATTGCTTAATACTATATAAGTTTCAGGGATGTTCAATGCATAGTTTTACGAGTATATTTACAGGGAACACATTGTACAACGATATTTTAGTGGATGAGATGTTTCGCTCCTATTTTATAGATAATAAGTAATAAGATTTTGTATTTTGTAAATAAAAATTTTTAGGATCGTGAGTCGACGAACGTCGTACTTGTACCACTTCTGACTCAGTGAGCCAGAACTGGTACTAACTAACTACTTCTGTGATTTTATGTCGGTATGTCATAGGGTATACAATTTTTCACTTTTTGATAATTTTTTCAGTCAGGATTTAAATCCAACGGCAATTCATATATTAAAATGGATTAAACTGTTTAGGGTACATAGCTTACCAAAGAAATAGACATACATACAAACTCTCGAAAAACATTAACCTCCTTCTGGGGCAATCGGATAAAAATTAGGAACCTCAAATTACTAGATTTACCTAGTTATACCGAATGGAGGAAACAGGGGATGATTTACATAATGATTTCTTATATTTACGCGAACACTACACATTGAAATAATACTAGTTTTTACGGAATTTATCGCGTATATTTAACTACTCGATAAATTCTCTTAATAACCTTCCAAGGATGATTCGCGAGGCTATTGAAATCAAAAAACATCCTTATTTCAATAGAGAAGATGGCTGGGTGCTACCATCCGCTTGGGATCCTATAATAAATACAATTAAATCCCAACCCAAGCATACAACTGCAAGACTTCATGATACCATAAGTTCATACTGTGTGTAGATCGAAACAAAAGTTAAATTTTAATCTACGGTAACCGCGGTTAACTATGACATCTGGACGTTGAACATCTCAGTCCCCCCCGTGACCATGGGTGCTGTAAAGCTCTCGAAACGTCGGGTATTTAAAAAGTTAAATATACGCGATAAATTTCGTAAAAACTACTATTATTTCAAGGGGATGATTTGTTCCTCGGTATGTCTAGCTCGGTCGTTAGGGCACAGCGCGATAGCAATCTTACAGCAGAATATAATATAATATAATCTGAGCTGTTAAAAACATAATCTTCAAAGATATCTTGCCAAGATACCCTCTTAACTGCGCAGTACATAACTCAAGGGATCTATCTACTACATAACTCGTTCTAACTCAGCAGTGCGCGATGTAACGCTTATACAACAAAATCGAAGGTAGCCTAGAATGTAATATCCAAGTTATGGGGCCAATCACAACAAAAAAAATATCAAAAATAATCTATAAATTATAAAAATAAAAACGAAGTATCTGTGTTTAATACCGAAATAACTATCCTTTATTGAGCTCGGGGCTCAGAGAAGCTATTTGTTGCATACCATAAGAATACTCATTGTTTTTTTTTAATTTTCGACTGTTAGTCGGTCCTGGTTAATCTTAAAAATGGCTGACAATGGCATTATGTTCATGTAATGAAACTTCACATGAACATACAGAGAGCAATAGGCTTTATTTTAACCAAAAAAACTGGGATATCGTTGTGATAACCAAAAATTGATACAGTAAATGGTTGTTGTCATTGACCAAAGTTGTTGAATATCTTAAAAAATCTGAATGGTTAACTAAATGACATTAATAGATAGCCGGGGTGGTGTGCTATTTAAAAATAAATGGTATTCATGGTTAGTTGATAAATGTTAAAAAAATAATTTAGTAATAAACTTAATAAATTAATAATGTTTATTGCCTAAAGTAGTAACAAATGTAAAATGACTCGAATTATTCTAATGATTACATATAACTTCGGTTTCATTTGTCATTTGTATAATATTGCTTTTTATCTCATTGCATTTTTCATCCATATCTATATGTTCTTTACAAAATATAACTATCCTCTGGCATGCCTCGCGCAGGGCGTCTTCAGGTACAGTGAGTACGATCCGCATAAAGTTTGGATACTCAAAGCACTGAAAAAAGACAAAAAAAAACAAGTCTTCAATGATAAACGAAGTAATTTTTTGGATCATTGTATACGTAATATAACAAAGCACATAAAGGAATGTTTAAAGGCATATAACAGGGTGGCGCAAAAGTAATAAGCTTATTTTATGACTTTTTTCTTCATTTCCAACTTATTTATTACTCGTAGGTAATTACTAGTCGGATCTTGGTCGCATAAGTCTGAGATGATATCTCTAATACTATATATTCGCTGTCGACATGTGATTCAAACCTGGGTGGTTCTCACCGCCCAGACCTTCGACCGACACGAGCTGAGCAGTCAGAGACGGGGTTTGCACTCCCCCCCTCGGACTGCGGTTAGATAGCTCAAAAACGCCTAAAAAGGCGACATGATGATTGGTAACAAAATCAAATCATAAATCATTCATCATCAATCTCACCTCGTTGCCTTTCCCTTTTTAATTAGCCCTGAGTCAGATAAAGCTGTAAGAGTCGCATAGACTAACAGCGCTAACATCCAGAAACTAGACTCATATAGTTTAATGTAAAAAAAGGAAACAGTAAAGCGAAAACTCAAAAATAAACTTTAAAACTTAAATTGAATTATAATAGGAATGTTTTCTGAATGTTGTGAAAGAGTTTAGATCTAAACGGGTGCCAAGCTCCATAACAGTTCTAGGAACGTTGTGTATTTATTTCTATAGAATAGGATAGAATAAAATAATTTTCATTTATTATGAAAATTATTTACATACCATCAGCTCACAGGACCACGATCCTAGCAAGAACCAGCAAAAATCCCAGCGGGACTTTTTATAAATCATTAATTTGCAATATAATAAGTTGTACAAATAAATATGAAAACATTTAGAAACTCATAACTCACCCTTTTTATCCCTAACCATTTTTACTTATTTAAAACTTTTTGATAGATAGGTCTTGCATATTTTCTAGGACTTTATTGTAAAAGCATATAAATTGTCCCATGATGGAATTACCGACTCTTTGAAGTCGAGTAACTGGTATTACCTGCTTGTGCTTGTTTCAAGTATTTACAGAGTGTACAACACAATTATTAATATGTAATACACAATTATTAAAATAATAATAAATTATTATGGTTTTTGTGGATATACATTATATTTTCAATAACTAAGAGGCTAAAGTAAATAATCAAAACGAAACTTCTTCGGATTTGGTTTATAAATTACCCTTATGGCTCTCTTCTGAAAAAGAAAAATAGTTTCAAATCCAGTCGCATTACATCATAGCAAGATTCCATAACTACATTATGCTGTGAATATGGCTAAAATAAATTAATCTAGCCATTTTAGCATATATAAGGCTTCTTTCTAATCCTTTTTATAGCATATTATGCTGCAGAACTAAGTTTGCTAGCTAGTTTAGATATATGACGGCTTCAATGAAGCTTATTGTCACCTGTAAATCCGAAACGGATTCAACAAAACTCAGCTCCTCCCCAGACTTCTATTCGCCTGTTCAACATATGGCGTCGTGAAGTTAATACATTGCATTTTTCCGTTCAAAAGCAAATTGTTGAAGTAAACCAGTTTCCTAATTTTATTTTAACAATTGCCGTTTAAATTTGAAAATCAACGAAGTATCATCAACAAATAAAACTATATCATGATATTTCTGTACCAGGTAAATTAAAACTAAAAAAGGGGTCAAGATTTGACCCCTGGGGAACACCTATAGGTACTACCGATCCGGAAGAACTACTTCCATTAATAATAACCATTTGTGTTCTAATATTTAAATATGAGGTAAGAAGTTTAAGACGAGGTCTTAGCACGATTTCAAATTCGTTTTTCACCCGCGCGTCCCGCAGTGGGCGGAGCGCAACCGGCTGTCGGAGAGCGCCACGTGAACACAGTTGCGCAAAGCAAGCAGACAATTCACCTCCAAACAAAAACTTTTCCGTGAGGTCTACTGTTCTCAACACTACTAGGTATTATAGTAATAATATTTTGAGTACCTACTCACTAATATCAAAACTGTTTACAATATCGGTAGTCTGGACATCATACTACATTTTAATTATCAATATTTTTTTAAAGTCAGTTTTATGATATGAGCAGGTACTTAGATTATTATTTACATACATAAACATTTAAAACGGCAACTCACAAATTCTAAAAAAAACCCAAGTTTCTTTGGCAAAATAGCTAAAATAAGAGAAAAAGAATAGTTTCAAATAAAACCATTAGAAAATTCAAATTTATTTTACTGTTTTCTATTACCTTACCTCCGGACTTGAAGGAGTGACCTGAAGGTGTACTTTGGTTATCGGTATTGGAACAGGTCGCCGAATACTACTAGGTGTGCCGAGTTTGGTCTCATTTTGTTAGGTATGACGAGCCCTTACCTCCGGACTTGATGGAGTGACCTGAAGGTGTACTTTGGCAATCGGCATTGGAACAGGTCGCCGAGTACTACTAGGTGTGCCGAGTTTGGGCTCGTTTTGTTAGGTATGATGAATTCTTACCTTTGGACTTGACGGAGTGACCTGAAGGTATACTTTGGTAATCGCTAATTGGAACTGGTCCCCGAGTACTACTAGCTGTGCCGAGTTTGGGCTAGTTTTATTAAGTATGATGAGTTCTTACCTTCGGACTTGACGGAGTGACCTGAAGGTATACTTTGCTAATCGCTATTGGAACTGGTTCCCTAGTACTACTAGGTGTGCCGTTTCCGGTAACGTTGGGCGTGTTGAAGAATACCTAACAAAATGAGCCCAAACTCGGCACACTTAGTAGTACTTGGCGACCAGTTGCAATAGCGATTATCAAAGTTCACCTTCAGGTCACTACGTCAAGTCCAGAGGTAAAGACTCATCACACCTAACACAACGAGCCCAAACTCGGCACACCTAGTAATACTCGGGGACCAGTTCCAACAGCGATTTCCTAAGTACACCTTCAGGTCACTCCTTGAAGTCCGGAGGTAAGGACTCATCATACCTAACAAAACGAGCCCAAGTACGGCACACCGAGTACTACTCGGCGACCAGTTCCAATAGCGATTATCAAAGTACACCTTCAGGTGACTCCGTCAAGTCCGGAGGTAAGGACTCACCATACCTAACAAAACGAGCCCAAACTCGGCACACCTAGTAGTACTCGGCGACCAGTTCCAATAGCGATTACCAAAGTACACCTTCAAGTCACACCGTCAAGTCCGTCGGTAAGGACTCATCATACCTAACAAAACGAGCCCTAACTCGGCACACCTAGTAGTACTCGGTGACCAGTTCCAATAACGATTACCAAAGTACACCTTCAGGTCACTCCGTCGAGTCCGGAGGTAAGGACTCATCATACCTAACAAAACGAGCCCAAACTCGGCACACCTAGTTCTACTAGTCTAGGTGTTCCAGTATTAGTTACTGAAGTTCACTTTCAGGTCACTCCACCAAGTCCGGAGGTAAGGTCTTATCATAAGTGACAAAACCAGCCCAAAGTCCACAGCTAACTTCTCAGTGCCAGCAGAGGGCTCCCAGTGCAAAGCAGTCTCTAGAGTAGGTATTCGTATTTCGTAACTAAGTCCAATTACACTATGTATCTAAGTGTATTTTTGAGGTGTAAGAAATCAAAAACAAATTCGATCTTTCAAATTATCAAAATAATTTTATATATAGCCAACCGTGCGTACACTTGTGTGCGTGACTCATGTCAATGTAATAGTTCGATTCTATACCTATATCAATTTTGTAAAGGCGTCCTTAAAAAATCTTAACGTAAATACTGCGGCGAAAAAGAGCGACACGTCTCTACAGCACCAGGCCTCGGCCGGCAATGATTGCACAGTCATTTACGCAAACATCCGTACGTATTATATCAGAAATAAGAATATGAATTTAAAAAAAAACTATTAGTTAGACTAAAAAATTAAAACGTTAATATGTTGAATGCATAAAAATCTGACAAAAAATCAGAATGATTGCATGTATACTAGTATGGTTTTTACTAGTTAAAAGAAATTTTTAGAGGTATGTTTGTGATTTTTTTTCTATCGTATTAAATTAGTGGTATCATGTTTTCAACACACTATCTAACTAGCATATATTCTGGACAATATCATATATTTTTCTGGGTTTGTTTACTGCAATGGATCATATACTCATACGTGGTCATATATTTATACGTGGTAGAGCCATGCTGCAGTTATATTAGTAGTATAGTTGTAGCACGAATGGGTCGGCTCGACCGGGGAAGGACCACGCTCTCACAGAATACCAGCGTGAAATAGTAGCTTAATGCTGCTGTATTTCGTATGGTGAGTGCAGAGTACCGGAGACCCTTTTTACTGGAAACGAGGCATTCCATCTTAGTCCTCACGGGTGACAACGCATCTGCATTTTGATTCGTAATCGAGGATAGATGTAGATGTCTATGGGCCACAGCAACCACTTACCATCAGGTGGACTGTGTGCTCGTTTGTCACCCTATACTATAAAAAAAATATACTTTGAGGCATTATAAAACTTGCGTTTAGGCTCATGCCTCGTCTTAACATTATTTTTTACACCATATTGGTTGGTGCTTCCTTATTAATTCCTCATGGTGAACACAGACCAAGGCTTTCGAAAGTTCACAAAATTACATTTTAACAGAAAATAATATGTAAAAGCAAACTGATTTACTGAAGCAATTTATTTACATTAAAAATACTTAACATTACAGCTTAAACATTAGGTTTGATATAATTATTGCAAAGATCTTATTAAATTTTCACACTACAAATAGAACTAAAATTAGTGGGGTCTAGATTTAAAAAAAGGTAGACTTTACTATGTTTTATTAAATCAGGAAACAGACAAGATTTGATACTAGTGTTAAAAATAATACCAAATTTGTTTACCATTGCATCTATTATATGCGATGATTTAAATGGTAATTATCCTAAATCTGCAGTTATCATAAAAGTTTTAAAATATTTTATAAATTTAAGTGCAAATTATGCACAATATATGCAGTAATGCCACAGCGACAGCATTCAATGAATTTGTAGTCAAAGTCAAATCGGAATAACGATAAAAATACTGCTCTACACTCTCAAAACATCTTGATCTGATTTTGTTAAATTGCTTTCAGCATTCAATTCAAAGTCTCCATTCAATTGAATTGAAGTCTCCAGTAAATATAAAGATTTCCCTACTTTTTAAATGTTTTGAAATATCTTTTTTAAATATTCTCCGAATTTATCACTATAATTGTGGGATCTGTAATTGTTAAAATCATATAACTTTGGCCAACTCTTAGGGATACCTACTATGGCTCATTCATTAAATAATTTTACTTATAGGTTTAAATAATGTTGCATATAAATTGTCAGTATTGTTTGAAAACGGAAGTGTTCCTACAATATCTATCTATACATGATAATAATTCTGCTTTGTTTACAAAGTGAAATTAATGACGCAATTAAAGCAAATACCGTTTTATTTAACAATTAAATCCGGACCAAAATTCCTTTCATTTTACTTCCTTTAGTAAATGCTATGTGTTTAGAACTTTTTGTTTAACTTTCTGTTTTTTGTATATGTAAGTTAGTTAGTTAGTCATCAGTAATTAAAACTTAATTTATGCCAGGGCTTAACATCTGTAAAATTTTATATATACCAGTTGCACTAAGCCCTGCACACCACCATATATTATGTTGGCTATAGGAATAAGTAAACCAGACTTTATGATTTGAGCAATGAACCAATGAACTACACATAATACTCATGGATAAAGTTTCTAAGAGACAGAGGCGGCGCAAGGCGAGAGCGACGTTTGCATTCAAAAAATTAAAAGAATTTTCATTCCAGAAAAATATTAAGTTAAAATATAAAGCGACGAAAGTTAATAAATCTGTAATACAAGAATGTCAGGAATATTTATTAGGTGAGTGCAATCCACTAGTTGTTTAAAAACCATAAATAAATTAGAAGTGGTTATTGATTCTCTAAATTGAAAACCAAAGGTGGCAATGACATTGCTGGCGACAAAGTACTTTGAGTTTTGTTTTATAATACTAGAGCATATTTATTTCAACAAAGGGTAAATTACAGCAATTATTATATACGTAACATTAAATAAAAATAATAATTAAAATTATAATATTTACAATTAATACTAATTATACACAATATAAAAAAGAAACTATAATATAGAAAAACTAACACTAAAAATTTAAATTGTCAAAAAGTCCTGCTCCCCGTGGTATAGTGCGTTTCCTCGCTGAATAGCTATACTTAGCCTTTCAGCGAGGAAAGAACCAGCCCTATTATCACCAGCAGCGACGACCAGCCGTGGATACAGTTCCTTTAGGAACTTCACTGCACGAGGACCCCACGGACCGATAGTCTCTACAGCAAACGGCACAAATATGAAATACTTTGAGTGAGATTAAGAGCAAATCTCATTCGACATTATTCTGATTAAGTCCCGGATGCCAATCTGAATAAGATTAGAATGGCTCCCCAGCATCTTAACAACTTAAAACGGCATAATACCTGGTGAAGATAGAATTACAACAGAGCTGTTGCATGTGAGTAGAGAAATTTAATTTTATAGTTTAAAGTCGTTCTCATAGTTATGGAGAAGGCTGTGCTCAGAGTTACTTTGCGGAACTGAATCCGTACCAATGATATACGCTGCAGAACCAGAGTTACCGACATCATCCAATCTATCGGTAAAAATACAAAATAGGCCAGCTATAGTTCGAGGAACCGACAACCTATGGAGAAGAAAGGTTCCCGAGTACTTAATAAAGGCCAAACGTCCAATTACGTCCAATACATACAGAATGTTCTTACATTTTTAGGTAATTCAAAACCGTGATATATTATCAATAAAATTAATTGAAATTATTTATTCGTTGCCAGGGGTCTTGGAACTAGAATCTATCCTATGATTTATCCGTAGTAGCTATGGAATTTGGCGCCCGTTCATATCTCAACTCTTTTATCGGCAAAACCGACCACTCCGAACGTCCTTCGTACTGAACTGACCAAATTCACAATTACGTTTTGATGAAGTTTTACTTATAGACATAGTATTTTTCTCATACATAGATGGAATCAATAGTAGCTCGGGGATTAGACGTTGTTTTTTTACAAGATCCTACAGTTAAGCTATTAAGACTGCATGAATATTTATTTTAATTAAACTCACCCTCCCAGGTAAGCAGAAGACGGACTGCTCGGATACCATACTCTCCACGAATTGTAAATCATTTTTGAATTCAGAGAAAAGTGATATTTTTATTTCTATCATCATATACATTGCTCCTTGCGGCATAATCGGGCGAAGACCAGGTGCTCGAAGTAGTTCAGCATATGCCAGCTTTGCTTGGTTCTAAAAAATTGAAAATTTCTTTGAAAACCATTATTATTTTATTTTAAACATGAAATTTTAAAATTATGGGTTATTATAATGAACAGACAGTGTTATTTAAACTAAGCAAATTTTCGGAAATTCTTATTTCAGTTGCTGTGGCGCAGTGGCTTTGCAATGAGTTGCGGTGCTGTGGGCTGCAGGTTCGAATCCCGCACGGAACAGTAGTGGCAGCCCCGGATCTAGGGGGGGGCAAACCGGGGCACCGGCCCCGGGCTGCAGTTTCAGGTGGCGCCAAAATTATATTATAATTCGAATTTAAGAAATAGCTTGCTCCACAAGACGTGTAGTATCCAACGCACGTTGCTCTATCAATTTTTCACTTGATGTTAAAACGCCCAGTTGGTTTTTGAACACATCCTAAGGGTTCATTTCGAAAAGTGTTGCCAGCAGCAGCGCAGTAAATTGTCAGCAACATTCAACAGCGGAAATTTTAATTTAAATGATTAAGATCGTACTTTCAAATACCACCTAGACCACGTAAAAAAGGACATGTATCCTGTTTATCGAATACAAAATGAAATTATCGGTAATATATTAAACAAAGTTCAAAATACCATTACCAATGTCATCAAGGAAGCCAACTATTTCACCATCATGTTTGACTGCACTCTAGATATCATCTCACACGGAACAAATGAGTTAGGTTGATTTAATTTATAAAAATATTGAAATCTGGACGTTAAACAAAGGAAAGTTTTATTGATTTTTTTTGAAGTTGATGGAAAGACTGGTGAATAAATTACACAGCGAATTCTAGAGAGACTAGAAGCTGACGGTTTAGATGTGCAAAAATGTCGTAGATAATCTTACGATAATGGATCTAGGAGTCCAATCTAGAGTTTCGCAAATAAACGAGCTGGTAAAATTTGTACCATATCTAGCATACTATTAAATCCAGTTAGCCTATTTGGGCTCGCACATAAACTTTATTGTTTCTTTGTTGGATCCACCACATGGTAGAAAAAATGCAAAATTGTACATAAACAAACTTAAAAGGAAGTAGTGAAACCTGAGGGTTGGCTAAACACCAGGGCTGTTATTGATCTATTAATTTACCGGAAACTGTCAACGTTCTGGAAGAAATTGAAAAATCTTGTCCAGTCGCAGAATCCAAGTATGAAACTGGTCACAACATGCGGTGATGCATTTTAAATTTATCCTTACTTAACATTTTGGGATAACATTCTTAGAGAAATCAATAGAGGTAGAGTGAACGTTGAAATACAAAAAGAGGATATTATCATTTCGCATTCTGTGGCGATAACGCAAGGTCTTGTTAAGATCTTGCAAGGAATGAAAGAAAAACCAATAGAACATTGGTTCAAAGAAGCTGCACTTTTATTAGAAAAGTTAGAAATCGAGCTAGTCCTTAAAATCAAACAAATCTCCATAAAGAAAACGCAACACAATAAAATCTGCGAAGAAGAATCAAGAGCACTATATCCAAATTTTTTATTTTCCAAAGATATAAAAATAGTGTTTGGCAAAATTTTAACAGATTTTCTTTTCTAGCATTGATTGGGTGACAAACGAATACAAAGTCCACCTGATGGTAAGTGGATGCTGTGACCCATAGACATCCACATTTATCCTCAACTAAGGATCAAAATGCAAATGCATTGTCACCTTTAAGGATTAAGACTGCGAAGAACGACTAGGAATGCGAGCGACGGTGTATGAGGGTCTCCGGGCTTTCTCTACACTCACCATTCGGAACACAGCAGCATTACGCTGCTATTTTACGCTGGTATTCTGTGAGAGCGTGGTCCTGCCTCGGTTGTGCTGACCCATTTGTGCTACAACTACAACATAGCTGCAGCGTTGTCTACCACGAAAAGAATATAACAAGAGTAGAGAGCGCAAAGAGTCTAGATGAAAATTTTGCCTACCTTAGTGGCCACGAGTTTTAAGATAAGTCGACTGAGGATTTGCGAAAAAATGGAGCCAATATAGCTCAAAAATATGCGAAAGACTTGTCCAGTTGATTTTTGTCACGACATTGCTCTTTTTCAAGTATATTCGACTTGTTACAACATCTGTACACTTCACTTCCTAGTAGTGTTTCCTTATGTTAGTATAGCTTTAAGAATATACTGCACATTAACTACGACATCTGCAAGCTGTGAGCGAAGCTTCAACTGCAAATAATTGAAATCTATCTATCTGCGTTTCACAGCGAGTCAGGAACATCTATCTGGCCTCGCGAACCTAACCATTGAAAATAAAACTGACTTTGAGACAAACTTTGATGAGCTAATAGATTCTTTCGCAGAAAAGAAAGCACGTCGTATAAATCTGTAGGAAAATTGGAGAGAAAACGATGCTGAGACCTAAAGTTTCTAAACATCTTGATTCAGTCTCTCTCTGTCTGTTTTCTTTCCTAGTTATAGGTATGTTTATATATAGTTATAGGTATGTCTATATATAATTTTATGTTACACAAACGAAAAAGTTATTAGCTAAATGCTAGGTACCCATTATGTATTTGCGAGTTTTTTTTTAACAAGTTATCTAAAATCAGCGTTCTGGAGAGAGGAGGCGCCACTATCAAGTTTTTGCCCCGGTTAAAAAAATCGTAGATCCGGTACAGAGTAGTGTTAGAGTCACGCTGCAGCTATATTATCGTTGCAGCACAAATGGGTTGTCCTGACCGGGGAAGAACCACGCTCTCACAGAATACTAGTGTGAAATATATTTAAAAATAATCATTCAAATCGGTTCACAATCGCTGAAGACAAAAATAACATAATAATTGAAAACCACCCTTTTTTTGTAGTTTGCTTAAAAATGAGGTCTTGCAGAGAAAACTGTAGGTACAAGTAAAAACATCACACAATATTGTAACTTTACCTAACTTTTGTGGGTACAATTTTTATTATAACGCCTGAATTTTTTTTATACAAATAATTATGGGAGTAAATTTAAACTAATAATATATATATATATATATATATATATTTCAATTCTAACATGAGGTCTACACCGAAAAATTTCAAAGGTTAATAAACCAGTTGCACAGAACCAAACAGGTTTGCTATGTAAGAGAACCAGTAATGTTACAAGTTATAAGGTATTTCTTCTTAATTCTCAGGTGAGACTGTGCTACCTGAAGCAATAACGACGTTAAACGACGTCGATGTTATCTGAACCTGATATTGAAAGACTGCAGTAGACTTATGTGATCACCATTGTGTGAACTATTTGCTAATTTGTCATTGTACCATCATGAAATAAAATGAATTAATACTGATTCCCAATTTTAATACCAACAATTAATCAAGTCAATCCGCATATGGGCATTGACGGTTAAGGAAATCCATCATCTTATCCTATTGGTGTCGTCGATTATAAGGCCTCCGAAATGTTTTGAAATGATTATGTATATAATAATCATATAAATATATTATATAATATAAATATAATCATAAAGTTACAGCCTATATACGTCTGGTTGGGCACAGGCCTCTCCTCATTTCTGAGAGGGTTTTTATCTCTCATCATAACTGACATTAAATACCAAGATCTTTGCGGCATCGGTAAGCAGTATTTTTTAACAAGAAATTTAATTGTTGTATAAAATCAATCATAGACTCTACCAAACAACAACCTTATTCATGCCGATTTGGCTACGGCGACTGTGACTATCTATAGGTAATATGGCTGTTTATCAGACAATAGATAGAGTATATATTATTTAGGGTCTATATTATATTACCAATAGATAGAGTCTATATAAATAGGAAAGAAATAATTTTAATATAGAAATATGAAAATATCTACCCAATCTTTGTTTTAAATATTGGTCTAGTTGACCTTTGTCAGTTAAAGAACATTCCACTCACCTCGATGAATAACAGGACATCGTCGAAGAAACTCTGCGGCGTGTATTTTAATATTGCAGGTAATGCCCGTTGTATCAATGTACTTGGGCCGAGAATTCTTGTCGACAAATTTGCTAAACCTTGGCGTACTTCTCTCCCTAGTATATTATGACGATCATGAATTATCACCCATCCCATTCGCCAGCCAGGGACTAAAAACCTCTTTGTGAGGCCTCCGCAAGTTAAGACGGGAACATCTTTAGATAAAGACGAAATAGCTGTAAACTCATTGCCGGAAAATACAAAATGTTCATATATTTCATCCGCTATAATTGGCACTTGATTTCGTGAAGCTATATCTAATATTTCACTTAAGTGTTCCTTGTTATATACAGAACCACATGGATTTGACGGATTTATAACAACGATAGCTGCAGTGTCATCATTTATCTGATTCTCTAAGTCATGCAGGTCCACCTTCCACTGCTTATCCGGCTGCAAAAAGCACAACAAATATATATTAACTCATTTCTTTGATTTCTATCTCCGTTCTTGATCAAGGTAGCTTATAATCAAAATGAGTTAAAAGCAATATGCAAATATAGTCCACAATAAACTGGAAACTTGTTCTGTTTCTAGAAACGTGTTGTTGTAGACAAGTAGTTCTCATAACTTTGCGTGTTATTTTTTAAATATACACAACCGATAAAATTGAAAAATTTTGTATAACCGACTTCAATATAAATAAAATGAGAAGTCTAAATAAAAAGAGAGTCAATTAAATACGCATTATTGGGGAAAAATCAATAACTACTGATCAGATCATGAATAAATTTATATGAGACTACATGAAAAGCACCGGCTTGTAAATAAAAAAAGAATCATCAAAATCGGTTCACCTAGAAAAAGTTATGAACATATACAAAAGTACAGTCGAATTGAGAACCTCCTCCTTTTTTGCAGTTGGTTTAAAAGCTTAAAATTTTTAAAGAACAAGTATCAAAAGAGCATTTCAATTTCCATATTTTGTATGAATCATGAGAAGCATTTGACGTAGTGACTTTTGTAACTACGACTATTATTTGTGCTAACACAAACAAACTGACAAATAAACATGTGGTTGTTTTTGTTTTCATCAACACATTCATAGTTATTTATATATTATGCTAATTGATTTATTCTATTGCGAAGCAGTAAGACATTTTCAATGAAATAGGTAAATAACAGAAGAAGAATAATAGAGCCGTGGTAGCTCAGATGGATAGTGCTCGCTGTAAATTTCACAGTACGCGAACAAACTGGGTTCGATCCCCGGCGGCACCAATGAAATTGTTAATAGCAATTTTAAGTGCTGATTTACCACGTGCTCGGCGGTGAAAGAAAACATCGTGAGGAAACCTGCATGTCTGAGAAATAAGAAAAAAAATTTCGTAGACATGTGAAGTTCGCCTACACGCATTGGGACAGCGTGGCGGACACTTCCTTGCCCTAATACCCTCTCAGAAATGAGAGGAGGCCTGTGCCCAGCAGTGGGACGTATAAAGACTGTAACTTTACTTTAAGCTTAGGTAAATAATATATCCAACACTATTTCATTGCCAAGTCGTATCGAAATTAGTTATGCAAAGCTATTTCTTAGACTATTATCCTTAAAAACTTAAAACGTCATTTTTTAAACCTCTTCTGATTGATTAAACTTAGTCCCCATTCTAACATACGTCGACGTGCCGAGCACAGGCCTCTTATTACAGAAAGGGTGATGGAGCAATTAGTTTGCCACCTAGCTCCAGTGCATGTTGAAGTCCGTCTAGCTAGCCTCTAAGAAGCTAGCTATTTCTTCGTAATTTTTTATTTAATGCAATCAGGATTAAAATTGCAATTAAAAATTTCAAGGGAATGAACCCAGGTTCCTTGCATACAGTGAAATTCACGACGAGTTGAGCACTCGTCGTCTCCCTTATCGATAAATTAACCATTATCAGCAACCCGAAAATGATCTGGGCTTTTGACGTGTTTGCCATTACTACTACGCTTGACAAGCAGATCAACAGTTTCAATACCGGACGTTTCTCACCTTTAACGCTGTGCTGTCCGATTCCAGCGTGTGTTTTTTCGTTTTAACGGAATGGTATAATGTTAGAGAATAAGAAAAGCAGTGAGACCTTTCTGGCGTCTCCCATAGTCACTTTTTACGACACCAATGAAATAATATGGTGATGGGTTCTCTGAGACCGCTATCAAAAGCTGGATTTAACAATATGCTAAAATTATGTAACGAAGTGAAAATTCTTACCAGTAGTCTGTAATATCTTATTTCTATGCCTAACCCCTCAGCTAATGTTTTGTAAATCATAAATCCTGGTTTTGGTACAAGGATATTCTGGCCGCATTCAGCAAGCACCGTGATAACTAGTTCAATAGCGTGTGAACATCCACTGCTCAGAATGACATCTTCTGCGCTGATATCGCCTTGATGAGCGCTATATTCTGCAACAGCTTCTCTTGCTTCCTGGTGTCCTCTTGATGGAGCGTAGCCCCGACTGGTATGTAGCTCAACACTATCTCGTATTGCCTGAATCACTTGCTCCGGGGGGATTGAGGTTGCCAAAAGTAGTTGGGTCACCTATTCAAAATGGACAGGTATTAATAGTTGCACATGTAAAGTGACTTTAAAATTCATTATTTGATTTATTACATTACATTAAAACTAAAAATTACTACTGCCTCCTACTAACTACACATTTTTAAAAGCTCAACACAGGCCTCCCCCACAGAATGCCGTTTGGCAGGTGGAATGCCACCACAGTTTTCTATTGTTATCTGGATTATCTGGAACAAAAACTATTTCAACAAATATTTACAAAAAATTATTTACGTAAACAGCGTAAAAAACTTTAACATTCAATCGCCTACAACGCGCTAGCCCCGACTGCGTATTACACCGTCGGTGACTCGCGATTTTAGGTAATTATTTCACGCAGGTAGCAAGAGTGACAGGGGCTTGATATAGTGCCAAAACGGCGACAACCTGCAGAAAGCAACCACGGTGGGATTGTGAGTTTTACCGTACTTCGAATAAGAAAATGGTCAGAAGAGCCAAGAGGGGCATCAACGGAGACCTGATATCCGTCCGGATGAGAGGTCAGCCGAAGATCCAACAGGGAAGTTACATAATCCTCCACATCTAGGATTCACGTAGGCAAAATAACCAGTTTTGTCAGACCATATGCCAAGGCAAAGTCATAAACAGATCTACCCGCACGATCGATTAAACGGGAACCAAGCCATTCAGCATGGTGGGTGTTAAAATCACCGAGCATCACGATCTCTGCGGATGAGGCCTGTTGTAGAAGTCTGCAATCCTTTGGACATGGTGGAGGAGTCGGTCTGTGTTGGCATTACTCCTACGGGACCTATAGAGACACCTGTAGACGCGGGTATGGTCGTCGCTGTCTATGCGCAGCCATAGAATGGTCAGGACCTTCAACACTGGCGAGGCGTCGAAAACAGATGTCCTCTCTGACGTATACACATAAGAGAATTCTAATTTGTACCCCAGGTAGGAGAGATACAAAGTATCAGTCGGAGAGGACACCTGTGTCTCGGTTAGAAAGAGCAAGTCTGGTACCCCCCTGGGGTAGTGTTTTCTTTGATTATACTTCATGTTAATGGGCGTGGGGGGGAATCGGGCCTCTGGCCACCTGCACTTGCCAGGCGAAACGCAGAAAAAGTAAACTTCTACTTCAGGCTGGTTTTCTGTGAGGTTGTGGTACTACCCCGGTTCGAGACAGCCCATGCACCACTGTGTAAGTAGACGAAAGAGGATCATCTTCAAATTCATTCATGATGGATGGCGTAAATATGCGTCCGTTACAACATAAAACACAAGAAAATATAATAAGCAGATCGTTAGCAATTCGTCGCAAATAAGTGGTAGGTACGCTCCTCGATGATTTTTTCTCAAAAATCCTATAAACAACAATGGTTGCCACCATAAAATACTATAATACACAATAGAATGGCTGTCAACCTTAACCGTCAGGCGTCAACCGATAGGGGGCACACATATAAGCAATTACGTCGTATTATCACTACTACAAACCCGATTTGCTGTGTTGACAGACAGATTTTAATACATTGGCATTTTCTAAATAATTTGCATGCGAAATTTGGAACGATTGTAACGTCAAAACACATCTTGTGTTGACATTTATACGTGTGAATTGACGTGTTAGTGACATTTTAGTTACTACAAGGGCTCCGCCCACTGCCCCGTTCTATTATGTACGTATTCTAGTATTTATTCTATGGTTGCCACGTTACCAACGACACGACGCTTTGCTAGGAATAAAACCTCTTTACCCTCCATCTAACCAGTATTTTATAGACTTGCCTACACGGCCAATCCTTACATACGACCGTCCTCGGGCGTTTATCTTCATTAATTCCAGTAAGAAATATTATTAATCACCACTTCTTCCGCTTGTCTATCCTGACATGAATAGGTGCACTGACCCTATCTTTGGATCTTCTCTCAGTCATCATCTCATTCATCTGCATGACAGATTGTATAGAAGTGATTGGCATTTATTTTGTTGATCAGTTCATTTATGACTATATTCCACAGAAGAGGTGAAAAAACCACACCCTGCGGGCAACTTTTCTTTATTTGGACTGCTTAAGATTTACCAGCAATCTTTATTGTTCGTGAACAGAGCATGTTTACTGTCGAGTCAATCAGTGCCGGTTCAACTCTATGCCTACTTAGTGATACTTTTATGCTGGCGATTGATTGTTATTTTAAGCCATTAACAAATGCAATCATTTTCGATCTAAGCGTTTATTTTATGAAATAGTTTTTACTATATTACACCATCCCTCTATATCCGAATTTTAATCATGCATACATGCTCGTCAGTTAACGGTACTCTACAAAACATACTTTGTATAATAATAATTTCGGAATAACAACTCTTTTGGTCACTCTTCCCGCCAAGTTTTCCTGTAAAAATTATTATGCATAGTATGCCAAGTCACAGACAAATCACTTTATAATGCAGCAATGGCTAACAACAAACTGTTACCCATATCTTCATCACCTCCTGTGATACGATCTACTATGGAGACAACAACTATTAGGTCGTACCAAGTCGACCAAAGTTAGTTTCTACGAGACAAAGGCCTTCCACCACACCATCAGATGTTCACCGCTCTTGAATAAATCACAAGTAAATTGCAGTTACAGCTACGCACCAATGCGTGCAATGCGACCAATAGCAATAACAAGTGGCTAAAAGTATGAACGCTTGGAAATACCTCCGGTAACTTCTTTAATACTTAATTTTAATATAATTAGATTAATCCAAAAGGAACTTTATTTATTATCACAAACTAAAATGGCCAAGAGCCATAATCGGGCCTATCTTAGATATAGTTTTAGAATTAGGTAAATAGTTTTAAGTTTTACTAACATTCGTTTTAAGATTTGTATTATTACTAACATCTATGATTCTCGTGGTCGAAATAAACGACTTTTATTTATTAATTACCCTTTTTAATCGTTCTTTACTCAACAAATGTATACTAAAAATGTTTCTTTTATTTTTACGAGGTACTCATCTCTATATTCAGGCATCCCTGTTACATCTCAACGACGACTAAACTAGACCTACCAACAGCACACGCCCACCGCACCCACTCTTTGAGTTACGGCTACGGTATGGCTATTGACATAGTCAAAACACAAAATAAAATGAAGTACGCAACTCTATAATTTAACAGGGTTATTAATCACCCAAATAGACTCAGGTTAGTCAAATGAATTAAGCTTGGCTTTCAGGTATTTCTCTCAACAAATTAAAAAGTTACCCACTTGTTACTACAAAATATTTCTTTCGAAGCAATATTTAAGACAATATGTCTCACGCATTATTTATTATTTATCAGTCAGTTGACAGCAGCGGTAAATAATACGCGCGCTGAAAAGGGTTAAAACTTTTATGAAAAACTAAAAGCCGCCTTCAAACAGCTAAAAAGAATAAAATAATTTCACATTTTGCAGTCCTGGCTTTAATTCTTCTATGCAATTTATCTTAGAACCGATACCGTTTGTTTTTTCTTAAAAAATATACTTATTTAATCAAAGTATTTTCCCTCAATATCCATACATTTCTGCTCTATCTAGTATCTAACTAATCTAGTATCTTCTTCATCCATGAAGGGATTTGTACCCGTTTTCTAAAAACAAGATTTTTCCTTGCAAGAACCGTAGCGTGCGAAAAAAAGTTATTGGTTGTGGCTAGTTGTAGCGGGTACGAAGGATGACGTATAGTTCTCTTACTGCAGGTCTTGTAATGTTAAACCAGCTTGCGAGCAGAGATCAGAGATTTATTGGCGAGTCGGAGTTGTTTCTCTGAGAGTTTCACCATCATTGTTCGAAGTTCTCCTCAATAGACAACTGCTGTTACTGATACATCCGATTTCAAAAAGCTAGCCGTATAATGAATGACACCTAGTGATCACCAAACAGTTACTTCTCTATGGGTGAGCTTCGCTTAGGACATTGTTTCGGTATTTAACATGGATTTAAACATTACGTTTTGACTTGTGATTATTATAGAGCATCTTCTTTTCGTCGCACGTAACAATTCTTTCCGAAATCCCTTTATTTCCGTAGCTACTCATCAAAGTAAGGCAAGTTTTAAAGTGTGCTCCTTTATACGTGTCAGCTAATTCATGAGGCACCTATTTATCTAGTTTTTAATTGTACCAAATTGGTGCGAATGAGTTAATATTGTAAGTTAACATCATATATATAAGGTATTTCTTGCAGATTGTTTGACCAACAAAATATTTCAAATAAGAGCCTGCAAGGGAGTGAAGAAAACATTCTAACGGCCAAGGATAAAATCAGTGGATTCCCTGCAAAACTTAGTTTGTTGTAAACGTCTTTAAGACAGCTCTTTGGCGCAGAGGCTTAGCAATGATTTGCAGCGCGAGCGGCTTGAATCCCGCACGGAACAAGTATTTGTATGGCCTACGAATAATTGATTCGGGTCTGAATGTATTACAGGAGAAAATCTTAGTGTGAAGGTGACGTTTTTATTCAAAAAAAATCCTAAGGTGGATGAGTCTTTTTCCTACAGAGCTTGCATAATTTAGAAATAAAACTATTAAATTACTTTCCAGAAGCTGGGCTCTGAAGCCCTAAATGAGCATAGATGGATACTTAATCTTTTTTTGGATGCTGTATTATAATGATGAAAGAAAATCTTATATATAGATATAGCCACTGATGGTATGGTTAAATGGAATTTAATCCGCAAACGATTGGCAGTTTGTGAATGAAGAGAAAATAAAAATATCCAGGCAATGGAAGCTTTAAAACTATAAGTACCATTTATCACTTTCTACCTATATCAAGTAACGTTTTTTTCTATGGCAAACGCCAAAAAACTAAGAGAGAAATTTACGTCTCAAATATATACACCCACGATTCCATAATTTCTTAAAAACTTAACAGGCATGTTATAACCCTTACTTTTTACTTTAAGCTGGCTTGCGACCGCGACCCACTGAATAATACCCCTGGGGGTCGAGACGATGTTGGTTGCGAGTGTTCATGTAACGTTTACCATCAAGTAGTCTGTTAAAATTTAAAACTTACAGCCATATAGGCTGTTCCGTTGCCTGACGCAGGCCTCCTCTCATTTCTGAGTGAGTTTTAGGGCAAGAAAATTTCCGCTTGCATCCGCTGCATGTCTAAGAAACAAAAAAAAACATTTTATTTTTGTTTCTTAGACATGCAGGTTTCCTTACGATGTTTTTCTCCACCGATGATCACGTGGTAAATCAGCACTTAAAATTGCAATCAACAATTTAATTCCTGCCGCGAGGATCAAACCCGGGTTGCTCCCGTACTGTAAAATTTACAGCGAGCGCTTAGTGACCTACCACGGCACCACCAAATCGATCACGGACAATCGGTATGGTATCATGAGTACAGAGTCGCTCTGGGGACGTGCTGAGATGAACCATCTTATTTATTCAGCTTGGTTAACTGGCTTCCTTCGAGGTGTGTTGTCTCAAAACCCTCCTTTACCACTCGAATAAGAGAAATAAAATTGCAGAGAATATAAGCTTCTCAATTTTCTTAATATTCTAATATTAGATGGATTTCCACATCTGTAATAATTTATATTATGTGTTTGTCAACAAATGTAGTGAAAGTCGAAAGCATATTTCGCAACAGTCTAATACATGCAGAATAAGTTTAGACAGCTAAACAAGCTGTATATAATGTGTTGTTTACAGATAAGTAATAATACATCATTCAATATCCTCATAAATAAATCCATGTGTAATAATTATCATTGTGTATATCGGCACATGGGGTACGGCATATATGAAATATAAAATACTTATCTATTCCCAAAATTTTCTAAAATATATTCATATTAAATCCACTAATAGACATTAATTTATGAACTAAAATATTGTGAAATCAAATCCTGTTAACCTTGACTTAATTGAAACACTTCATATTTTTAATAAAAATCCTGTTCAGTCAATATCTGAATATATAAAAAAGTCGTTCGAGCAATATATGAATAACAAACATATAAGAGCAGCAGATCAACGAAAGCTAATGCGTAGATAAACATTTTCAATTTTTTTTAATTATTTATAATGCAAAAGGCTAAAGAACTAAAGTGTTTTGAACAAAGATTAAAGCTCTTTTAAATTCAACACTCCATGTAGAAAAATGCGATTACTAAATTTTAATCTTAAGAGTTGCTTGTTTCAGTTTGTGAGTTGTTTGTGAAGCTTTAGTAATTTAATGTATAACACAAATTTTCATTTCCTTAGAATTTTGAAAAACTAAATAATTTGTTTTAATTATTCTGTTCTTTCTCATTTCATAGCAAAATACAATTAAAACTTTAGAAACTCACCAATAGAAAGAGCAATGAACGGCTTGCTGGGATTTGGTTCCACCTGCAGATTATCCACGATGTTCCTGATCAGGTTATGGGTATTGCGAGCCAAAGCTGAAGCGCGCACATTCCATTCCTGACTTCTTCGTGCACGTCGCGACATGGACACGAAACTTGTAAAATATTGAATGCTGTGTCAATACTTAAACTTGAATTGAGAATAGCGCTCGCCTTTCGATACGCCTCAGTTTTGTACGGAAACTAGCGTTTGACGATCACAGGCGTGAAACTGGTTTCGAAATGTATATAAGATGACGACAGTAGAGCAAGTTATTTAGATATGCTACCCTTGCAAATAACACCGCATACATCTTATTAATTAATACGAAAAACGTCACATTATTTAGAAAAAGGCTGATAAAATGCCTTATAACGTCGTATTCAACTTTCATGCAAATAATAGATAGGTAAAATTTCCTATATTTCAGCTTCATTAAACTAAAGAAACTTTTGGTGATTAGATTACGATGTATTGTAATGTTATTCCCAAAAGTTTCTGAAGGCGAGCAATACCTATTTATATATATTAACACTTTCACAATTAAAACGGTATCGTTGGTATCACATGGTTTTATTATAGAAAAGTGATGATTAGGTATGTCCTCGCGATTAATTTCTACCAACTTCAAAATTAATACTAAAAGTGAAGTTATCAACTGTGCAGAAGGCTTTTAATTTTTGATGCCACTTTAATAGTCTTTTTCGCAGTTGATCACTTTTTTTTCTATTTTAGAAAAAAAATAACAAACGCTATTTCACAGCTCTTTATGATAAATAAATAATACACAATAGTGCTATAAGCGTAACAAACAGTAGGAGCGAAATTTTTTAGCTCGAATTACAAAATCATTTTCTAGTACTAGAAGCTACAGTCTTCTCTTCTCTCTTCTCTACAGTGGATGATATGAATAACAAGCTCATAAAAACTGTCCAATAGGTCAATGACGCTGCAGTCTTCAGCAGATATGACAACACAAATAATAAAAAGACATCTCGAAATACATGCGGCGAGACTTGACGAGACAATTTCAATACAGTTCATATTAGAGAAGCGATTGAGTGGAACCAAAGCTATAAAGTCTTTGCCAGAAATGTCTGCTGGAAAGGGCCAACTGTCAAAGTCGAAGACCGACTGGTAGTATCGCTTCCGGGACACTTGAGATTTTGAGTGAGATTGATAGGTTCTACGGATAGCCGTACACATCTCCGTTAGAGCCATGCTGAAGTGCTAGTATAACAATCCAAGAGTAAGCCTCATCCGACACTACTTTGGTGATATCACGGACCTCTGTTTGAGCAAGATTAGTTGACTCCCCATCACCCTAAAAACGACAAAATTCATAGTAAGAATATAATATAAATGGAGCTTCTACAAACGGCTGGAAAACCGGTACTCAAATAATAATAATAATAATAATAACATGGCGTAGGGAAGTGACGACCCCATCGCCCGTTGACGTGACGGTTATGTGACAAAACCGCTACGTCCGCGCAGTCAGTCAGCACCTTGCCAAGAGGTGTGAGCGCCGTGCCTCGGCAAAAATTGATGGTGCAAGGGCCCGCTTGTGCATATGGCCTCACCATGAAACGGCGCCGGGTCTGGGCGTCTCCCGTTAAATGACGCCCTGTATGGATGATGGAACATAGAAGATTGCGCAAAGGGCCGCTGCCTGGAGGTCGTCAGGGCGCGTCTGGAGCTGGCGCTGGACGCGACAGCATGCGAACCGCCAGCCGAGCGCGAGGTGCTGCACGACCACCCAGCAGCCCCTCGCATCCATCATCCCCACCAGCTTGCTTGGTGTCGGCAGGGTCTTCGCAGGCCCAGCAATCGGCACCCGCCACTGGTGGAGTACGCCGCATGCGATGGACCATCAATATGAATTCAAACGCATTGCGGGCGTATTTTAGGGCGAAAGGGGGAGAAATTGGAGGTTTCGCGTATCGGGCTAGGATGCATCGTCTTTTTACTGAGCTGGAGCCATCTATTACTGTCACCGAGCAAAACCTGGCAGACCGAGTTCGGTATATCTGTATAGTTGTAGCACGAATGGGTCGGCTCGACCGGGGAAGGACCACGCTCTCACAGAATACCAGCGTGAAATAGTAGCTTAATGCTGCTGTATTTCGTATGGTGAGTGTAGAGAACCGGAGACCCTTTTTACTGGAAACGAGGCATTCCATCTCAGTCCTCACGAGTGACAACGCATCTGCATTTTGATTTTTAATGGAGGATAGATGTAGATGTCTATGGGCCGCAGCAACCACTTACCATCAGGTGGACTGTGTGCTCGTTTGTCACCCTATTCTATAAAAAAAAAAAAAAAAAAAATATCTTACGCTCAAATATATTTGATGGCGCCGAACTCGAACGGCTACGACGTGAGGCTGTTCCCTCATCAAATGAAAACGCTACGACTGAGGGTGCGGTGCCACAAGTTGCAGAACAACCCGCACACGTGGATGCCGCCGAGAATACCCCAGTGGTTGCTGATTCAAATGATGATGGAACATTCACCCAGGAACTAGAAATAGAGCAAATGAGGAGTACATTGGAAGAGGCGATTATGGAAACGCGCAGTACGCCTCTCGAAAATCGACCGCGACTTCCCCGCATAGCCCTAAGCAAGCGGAATCGGGCTGTCGTGAGGGCTCTGAACCCAATGCTGGTGACCTATTTGGAAGCCAGCCGGGACCTTTGCGAGACGGACTCAATTCTCTTTGGCGCCGCACTGGCAGTCTGCCGTATTATAGGCGCCAAATTTTCCACGGCTGGACGCACTACTGGACAAAGTAGTGCTATCCCAGCCTGGAGAACAAGAATTGAAGAACGTATCGCAAAGGCTAGGGCCCTCATCGGCAGACTGATATGCTTCAGGTCAGGCAATACCAGGCCAAGGATTGTGCGCACCGTCAGGATGGCGTTTGCTGGGACAAATGTTAGTTTGTCCCAGCCGGATATAATGCAAAAACTGACGGAGCGCATAGACGACCTGAAGCAGAGAATCGCTGCTTGGGGAAAGCGAATTCGGCGATATACCGAGAGGTCGACACGGTTCAACCAGAATCGTCTCTTCCAGAGTGATCAGAAGAGGCTCTATAAATCATTGGAGCGACCAATGGTAAGTGGAACGGGCCCAGTACCGAATCAGGCCGACACGGTTGCATTCTGGTGCAGCCTGTGGTCAGAGCCCGTAAACCACAACGAGGGCCCTTGGACGGAAGTTGTGGCGAGTCAGTGTGCGGGTATTACGCCCATGGACCCCGTCACCATAACGCCGGATGACGTAGCTGAGGCGGTCCGTAGGGCCCCGAACTGGAAAAGTCCGGGACTCGACGGGCTGCATCACTACTGGCTGAAGGGGTTCGTGGTGTGTCACACTGTGCTCGCCCGACAGTTTCAAGAGGTTCTCAACCAGAAGTCGCTCCCGAGCCTCTTCACTACTGGGATCACCCATTTGGTTCCTAAAGGCCAGAGTACCACAGACCCGAGCAAATACCGCCCCATCACATGTCTACCGACCATATATAAGACACTAACATCCATTTTGAGCGCGAGAATCACTCGTCACCTGGACTCAAATCAGGTGATGTCGCGCGCTCAAAATGGATGTCGGGGCGGCGGTCGTGGAACCAAGGAACCACTCCTCACTGACGTGGTCATTGGCAAAGTGGTGAAACGCAACCGTCGGAACTTCTCCGCCGCCTGGATAGACTACAGAAAGGCATTCGACTCGGTGCCCCATACATGGCTAAAGAGAGTCCTCGAACTGTACAAGATAGACTGTACAGTTAGAGACTTCCTCGAGCAGTGTATGGGGCAGTGGAGTACGATCCTTTGTCATCTGGGCGAGCGGATGATGGCTGCGGAGAACCACATAAGGATAAGAAGGGGTATCTTCCAGGGCGATTGTCTGAGTCCAATATGGTTCTGCCTCTCTCTGAACCCTCTCAGTACCTTACTGGAGGGCTCCGGGAGGGGATTTCAGCTACGGAAAGGAGGGACAAAAGTGACCCACCTTTTCTATATGGATGACCTCAAGTTATTCGCCTCCAGTCGCTCCCATCTTATGGAACTGCTAAACATCACTTGTGAATTTAGCAGTTCCATTGGAATGGAGCTGGGGACGGATAAGTGTGCGGTCCTCCATGTTGAGAGGGGTAGGGTTGCTAACTCTGAGGGCATAGACTTATCTATGCCCGTCAACTTAAGGACCCTTTCCGAGGCTGAAACATACCGATACCTGGGTATGTCACAGAACATTGGTATCGATGAGGCTGGTATGAAACAGTCAGTTTGCGACGTGTTTTATGCACGCTTGACCAAAGTGCTTAACAGCCTTTTGTCCGGTGTGAATAAGACACAAGCATATAACGGCTGGGTCATACCTGTCCTCATGTATACCTTTGGCATACTCAGGTGGACTCAGACTGAACTTAACGCCCTGGATAGAAAAGTCCGCACTACCATGACGTCCCACAGGATGCATCATCCGAGATCGTCGGTAATGAGGCTGTACTTGCCGCGAAAGCATGGTGGGCGTGGCTTCTTGAGCGCGCTCACCATGCATAATCGCGAAGTGTGCAGCCTCCGTAATTACTTCCTGGCGAGATCGGATGATCCATTCTATAAGGACGTCATTTCTTGTGATAAAGGACTTACCCCTCTATCCTTAGCCAACGAGCAATGGCAAGACCCGGCAGTGCAGACAATTTCCGACCGGGAGACCGTATGGAAGGAGAAGGAGCTCCACGGGAGGTTCTACAAGTCTCTATATGGGCCTTTCGTAGACACAGTAACCTCTCTCCACTGGCTACGCTTTGGTGACCTCTTCGGGGGAAACCGAGGGTTTTGTCTGTGCAATACAGGATCAGGTTATTAAGACCAACAACTATCGGAGATACATCCTAAAGGATGGCACCATCGACATCTGTCGAGCTTGTCGCCATCCCGGTGAGTCACTTAGGCATGTCATCTCCGGTTGTTCGGCGCTTTCTAACTCTGAGTACTTGCACAGGCACAACCTAGTAGCCAGAATTCTACACCAGGAGCTCGCTCTGAAATACGGTTTCGTGGATCGGAAGTTGCCGTATTACAAGTACTTGCCGGAAGCCGTGCTCGAAAATGATCGCGCCAGGCTCTATTGGGACCGGGCCATCATCACAGACAGGACTATTCTTGCGAATAAGCCTGATATTGTGCTGATGGACCGGGCACAGTCAAGGATATTTTTGGTCGACATTACCATTCCGTGTGACGAGAACCTCGTGAAAGCCGAAACAGATAAGCAAACAAAATATCTGGACCTGGCTCACGAGGTGACCGACATGTGGGGTGGTCTGCCGACCGAAATTATTCCTGTAGTCGTCTCTGCAAACAGGCTAATCCCAGTCAGCCTCTCAGGTCATCTGAGGCGGCTGGGACTACGTGGCGGACCGCTCCAGGCTCAAATGCAGAAGGCGGTGCTCCTCGATACCGCCCGCATCGTCCGCCGGTTTCTTTCCCTTTCCCCCTAACCCTCGGCCGTTTGGTCTCCCCCTGCCGAGGGCTTCCATCTGGTTGGGCTTTTATTTATTTATGTATTTTCATATTTATTTTATTTTATTGATATTTTTGTATGTTTATCTTTTCATTTTCGTTTATAATTATATATTTATACATCCCAACCAGATGAGAAAACTATATAGATACCCCACACATAATAATAATAATAAGTACCTTACTGGAGGGCTCCGGGAGAGGATTTCAGCTACGGAAGGGAGAAACAAAAGTGACCCACCTTTTCTATATGGATGACCTCAAGTTATTCGCCTCCAGTCGCTCCCATCTTATGGAATTGCTAAACATCACTTGTGAATTTAGCAATTCTATTGGAATGGAGCTGGGGACGGATAAGTGTGCGGTCCTTCATGTTGAAAGGGGAAGGGTTGCTAACTCTGAGAGCATAGATTATTTTATCTATGCCCGTCAACTTAAAGACCCTTTCCGAGGCTGAAACATACCGATACCTGGGTATGTCACAGAACATCGGTATCGATGAGGCTGGTATGAAACAGTCAGTTTGCGACGTGTTTTATGCACGCTTGACCAAAGTGCTTAACAGCCTTTTGTCCGGTGTGAATAAGACACACGCATATAACGGTTGGGTCATGCCTGTCCTCATATATACCTTTGGCATACTCAGATGGACTCAGACCGAACTTAACGGCCTGGATAGAAAAGTCCGCACTACCATGACGTCCCATAGGATGCATCATCCGAGATCGTCGGTAATGAGGCTGTACTTGCCGCGAAAGCATGGTGGGCGTGGTTTTCTGAGCGCGCTCACCATGCATAATCGCGAAGTGTGCTGCCTCCGTGATTACTTCCTGGCGAGATCGGATGATCCATTCTATAATGACGTCATTTCTATTGATAAAGGGCTTACCCCTCTATCCTTAGCCCTCGAGCAATGGCAGGACCCGGCAGTGCAGACAATTTCCGACCGGGAGACCGTATGGAAGGAGAAGGAGCTCCACGGGAGGTTCTACAAGTCTCTACATGGGCCTTTCGTAGACACAGTAACCTCCCTCCACTGGCTACGCTTTGGTGACCTCTTCGGGGAAACAGAGGGTTTTGTCTGTGCAATACATGATCAGGTTATTAAGACCAACAACTATCGGAGATACATCCTAAAGGATGGCACCATCGAAATCTGTCGAGGTTGTCGCCATCTTGGTGAGTCACGTTGGCATATCATCTCTGGTTATTCGGCGTTTTCTAACTCTGAGTACTTGCACAGGCACAACCTAGTAGCCAGAATTCTACACCAGGAGCTCGCTCTGAAATACGGTTTCGTGGATCGGAAATTGCCGTATTACAAGTACTTGCCGGAAAGCCGTGCTCGAAAATGATCGCGCCAGGCTCTATTGGGACCGGGCCATCATCACAGACAGGACTATTCTTGCGAATAAGCCTGATATTGTGCTGGTGGACCGGGCACAGTCAAGGATATTTTTGGTCGATATTACCATTCCGTGTGACGAGAACCTCGTGAAAGCCGAAACAGATAAGCAAACAAAATATCTGGACCTCTCTCACGAGGTGACCGACATGTGGGGTGGTCTGCCGACCGAAATTATTCCTGTAGTCGTCTCTGCAAACGAGCTAATCCCAGTCAGCCTCTCGGGTCATCTGAGGCGGCTGGGACTACGTGGCGGACCGCTCCAGGCTCAAATGCAGAAGGCGGTGCTCCTCGATACCGCCCGCATCGTCCGCCGGTTTCTTTCCCTTTCCCCCTAACCCTCGGCCGTTTGGTCTCCCCTGCCGAGGGCCTCCATCTGGTTGGGCTTTTATTTATATATGTATTTTTATATTTATTTTATGTTATTGATATTTATGTATATTTATCTTTTCATTTCCATTTATAATTATATATTTATAGAACCCAACCAGATGAGAAAACTATATTGATACCCCTAACAATAATAATAATAAACTTTATTAGCATAATTACGTTCCTTTCCTTTACAATAAGCTTTTTTATAATATGTTTAAAATAAGCTATGTACAATTTTTTTAAGTTGCTTACTTCGGTTACTGCCGGCTGTACTAGGCCGAGCCTGTATCACAGACGGCAGAAAAAAGTCAAAGTCTTACTACTACAAAAGCTTTTCAATTCCATCCTTACTTCCTCACCCCAATACAATACTGTCCAAGGAAAGACCCACAATAACCCTAGCGGGGATACATTTTTTAGACAATAATATGTTTAAGATTTACATAATATTTTTAAGTACTGATTTACCATATGCTCTTCGGTGAAAGAAAACATTGTGACAAAGAAAAATGCATGTTTTAGATATAAAAAAATATTTCAAAGGCAACTAAAGTTATCACACAAAAAAAATCACGTTTTGCAATGATAATGGCTGAAGCTTTTAAATTAAATAAGGCCTTTCGAACAGTGAGAATCAATCTAACAATATTTCTATTCGTACTCCAGTACATTCAAACCACTGTTAAATGATTACGTCTGTACGCTTGTGAAGCTCCTTGCCTCTACATATTTTACTGTGCTCAAGCTCCTTTTTCCTTCACATCTACGCAAAGCTTACTATTTGGAACTTTCCGTCCATCTTGTATATATCCTACTTTCCTTAACTGTGTTTTTGTTGTGTTTTTACTTAATTGTATAATTTATGTAAATATATAGTTTATGTTAAGTATAATTTACGTAACTTGCCTCTTACCAGGGCCTGATTTAACCACAGGGCAACTATGCTGGAACCTGGAGCGCATTGTTCTAGGGGGCGCTGAGCGTGCCTTTGCAATCACCTCTTTACCAAATTTTTGTAAAATATTCTCAATAAATAATAGAGTAAGTACCGCAATAGTATTTGGCTTGTTGCTCTTTCTTTATTTTGGGTACAAAACAAATAGATTGCAAAAATAAGATTTAATTAAAGCATTCCTTTCCCTGGACGTCAAGAGGACGAGTGGAACTGATGGAGTCCCTCCTAAAAAACTAATTACTAAGCTAAAAACTATAATTTACTAAGCTAAAGACGGGTGCTACGAAGTTAACGTCTTTTCCGGTACTCCTACTCCCAATGCGTAATCCTGAACTTATGGAAGACAGCTTTAATATATCCAGTCCCTTAAAAGTCGAAGGCCCAGACCCGTTCAAATACAAGCTTATCACCATTGCCTTGTTTTTCTCCAATACAATGGAATCCATTGTAAACTGCCGGCTCATAAGGTAACTTGAAGACCACTACTAGCAGGACTTATCAACTCGTTCTAATTCTAATCTTCCATTTACCTGACTCGTAGATGAGCGGAAGCAGTAGAGTCCAAGAGAAAGATCTTGGTCGTTACTTAGACACAGCGAAAGCCTTCAATGAGTTTTGGCACATAGCGTTTCTTTATAAGATTCCTTCCGATAGGCTTCTCGAGAAATTATTCAATTCGATCATCAGTTTTCCTGCAGATCGGAGTATTAAGGTTGTAGTGCGGGAAGGCGGTGCATACTCCGACTACGAGCCTATTAATGCAAATGCTTAAGGCAGTGTGCTATCACCTACGCTGTTTCTTCTGTATATCAATTATACGTTGCTGTACTAGTTGCAACAATGGTGATGCTTTTTACACCAGCCTTGCTAATACTTCACGTCATCGAGAATCGGAACATACATGTGCCTGAAATCGAGTCTTCATTAAATAAAATCTCGGACTGGGGACGATTCTATTCCAGGTTAAACTTTAGAAGGCACAGGATTCACGTACACTGGTTTTCTCATGGTTTTTTTATACTTTAAAAAATCCCTGTAGAAACTCATTCCTATCGAAACCTGTATTATCGCGTGAGTGATAGATGAGAGCAGCTAGGCAGCCAGACAGTAGTAGCAGCGCAACAAACTCCGCTTCCCCACACGCACTCTCCGAGCCGTCTGCGCCCAACGCCCGCGCTAGTGTTTTGTTTTGCAAGCATCGATTGCATACGCACACTACACTCTCGTCTTGTCTTTGAATACCTACTTTACTTACCGAAATAAAATACGAAACGACTACTGAATGAAAATCACAGTGATTCTCAATATACTTTGTTGTTAAGCTTCAGTTTTTATTTGACAACTGCGTTCATGGTCGTATTTTAGAATGTTATTTTGCAAAGGTTAAATAATGTGAGTGTGCAGATTTAGAGCTCATCTGTAGATGTATTGATGGTATCTGATTTTTATGGATCTCTAATAGATTTTACAATAGCAGAACAAGAAAACTTTGACTATTTAAAAAGCAATAGAGATGAACGCACTTAGGTAATATCAGGCTGAAATAAATAGACAACCTCAAAGAAAAAAATGACGGATGAAACAACGAATGAAGAAATTGAAATACCCTCCGACTGCAGAGATTATTTCAGAGTGAAAACCTTTTTGGTGATCCTTGATAGACTGAGAGCTGAAATACAAAGAAGGCATAATGCTTACTTTGAGGAAATTTTTCATTTTTAACAAAAATGACTGAACTTTCAACACAAAGAGTTACAGAAAAAGTCGAGTCTCTCATGAAATATTATACCAATGATTTAGAAGACGATTTCATTCAAAAATGTGTAAAAGTAAAAAGTAAAGTTGCGGCCTATATACGTCTCACTGCTGGGCACAGGCCCCCCCTCATTTCTAGAGAGGGTTTCAATAATGTGTGCATTTTCACAATCACATTTGCTCTGATAAAACTGCAGAGTGGACAGTAAAGCCTGGATCAAACTCACTACTCAGTCTCTTAACGTTTTTGAGGAATCAATCTCTGTCTTAATTTTACCCTAACTTGGATATAGATCTCCGCATTGCACTTTCCACTCCGGCTACAAATTGTTCTTTGAAAGGAATTCTTCCTGTTTAAAACGCGTGAAAAATTATCAAAGGTCTTCATTATCTTAAGAAAAATTAATTCTCTAGCTCTACTCTTCATAGAAGGAGAGATAATGAACACCATAAACTATGACGATATTATAGATGATTTTGCTATTAAAAACTATGACGATATTATAGATGATTTTGCTATTAAAAACTATGACGATATTATAGATGATTTTGCTATTAAAAACTATGACGATATTATAGAAAAACTTGATGATTTTGCTATTAAAAACTATGACGATATTATAGATGATTTTGCTATTAAAAACTATGACGATATTATAGATGATTTTGCTATTAAAAACTATGACGATATTATAGATGATTTTGCTATTAAAAACTATCGTATAGATGTTTGCTTAAATATTATGAATATTATATATTTACGCCCTCGTAAAAACTATAGATATTATAGATGATTTTGCTATTAAAAACTATGACGATATTATAGATGATTTTGCTATTAAAAACTATGACGATATTATAGATGATTTTGCTATTAAAAACTTCCGTAAAAATTGTATATTTTGTTTCTTTTTTTACGCCCTTTCTTAAAGACTAATTTTTTTTTATAGGAAAAGGGTGACAAGCGAACACACAGTTCACCTGATGGTAAGTGGTTGCTGTGACCCATAGACATCTACATCTATCCTCGTTTGCGAATCAAAATGAAGATGCGTTGTCAGCCTTGAGGACTAAGATGGAATGCCTCGTTTCCAGTAAAAAGGGTCCCCGTTTCTCTACACTCACCATACGAAACACAGCAGCATTAAGCTGCTATTTGACGCTGGTATTCTGTGAGAGCGTGGAACTTCCCCGGTCGAGCCGCCCCATTCGTACTACAACTATACAATTAATATAGCTGCAGCATGGCTCTACCACGTAATTCATACGCTTATTTAACTTTAATACTGACCACGGTGGCGGAAATAAAGTGGCCTACACTCATAAAAAATATAAATCCGGCACTGCTGGCGCTGCAAAGGATATTGGTTCCATATAAATATAAAAAAACAAGTGAAGTGGCTTACCATTTTTCTTGTTTTTTTTTTATATTTCTGTCTGTTTCCGCGCACTATGATCAAAATGCTAAAGTTCTATTCAAATGGCCGTCTCCGCTAAGTAGTCTCCTTTCGACCGTTTTCTAGAAACATTATCAGAATGCCGTGTTGTTCAGTGATTTATTGTAAAAACCGAAACCAAAATAAAAAAAATTAAATCATGGAATCCCTTACCATGTTTAAGTACAAGTATTTTACTATATTTGTTTCTAAAATCATGAAAAACAACAATTCGTAAAATATTTCTTGCTCCAACTACGTTATTTTTGTTTTAAAATATCTTAGCAACTGTACTAGTTTTGCAGTAAATACATTCCTCCGTAACCACTACTTAGTACCGACTGACCGAAGTGACCGAAGTGACCGAAGTGACCGAGTGACCGAACAAGCAATGTAAATATCACAAGACGATACTTTATTTCTGCGGATGCATCACGTAGTACGGCCACTGTATCTTGGGACGTGCTCGTGCACACTAACGTATGCTATCGACAACAATGTTTATTGACGAATTGCTATGATAGTTTATTCTTCAATTTGTCAACTGTTTCAACCTGTGCGAAGACCGATGTGACATAATGTTTTTTTTTATTTATTTTAATTATTTTCAGCATCTACTTTGCTGAATGCGTATGCAACGGTAAGTTGATTAAATTCTAGGTTACTAATCGGTGGAGTGTGTGTTTGAATTATCGTATTATGATTTATTTTCATGATAATTCCATACTTTTCATGGTTTGGTATTTTACATAATTCAAGTTTTCAAAAGCTTCCAGTTCGTTAAAAGGCATGGTTCAGATAATACTATAATAGTGACTTTTGCTAAAAAAGTCAACATAATTATTCTTTCTGTTTATTTGTTATGCATTAGTGGGTATTTGTTTTCATATATTTGACAGTATCTTCACTAACCAGGTGTTTTATAACAAAAGCTTCCCAAACAGAATGTGCTTAGTACAATGTGAGGTTTATAAGTAGCTTAGGATATATGTAAACGATAAATAAGCTTTATCGCACCTTGTCAGCTTCCCAAAAGCCACTAATTAAAAGAAGGAAAGGATTGATGTTACAGTAAGGCTACCTTATTGTTTCCCTACAAAAACTAGCACCATATGCTAAACTCACTTTGAGGTAGAAATCTTTCAGCTTCTTAAGAAACACCGCAGGCTTTTTGAATGGGCGTTTCCAAAATTAAGACTCTGCCTTATTTTTGTAGAAGTGGGTTAAATTTTATTTAATAACTGAAAGTTATTGTCATATTTAAAGGCATTTATTAAACTTTTCAGGATATAAATAAAATATAGCGCTAAGATATTCCAATTAAAAGTGTAATGTAAGTTAACATCATCTTCTATTTGACCTATTACTATGGCAATTGAATATTAAGACTTTAATTAAAAATAATTCTGACCATGCTTGATTTTAAATCAAACATCAATAAAATTACGTTGCATTATTATTGAACATTGTGCGTTCGTTTGATTAGCCACCAAACAGATTGAATGTTTTGGAGATATTTGATCACTTAAAATCAAACATATCCGCCTAAATATTCACCAATAAGAAGAAGAAGAAAAACAGAAACCCCGGAACCAGGATTTGATAAGAAGTTTTTAGAATTAGAGTTTCACTTGAAAATAAACTTGTTGATAAAATACTAACATTTTATATATTTTTCTATTTTTTCAGAAACCAGCAGCTGCATCCGATAATATCCACATAGTAGAAACATTCCAAAAACGGAGACTGCACATCAAAATTAGTCAAAGAGAAAAGATGATAAAAAAACAAAAAAAATTATTACTCGCCGAAGGCATTCGAATATTTGCAAAAAATATTCCAGACTTGTTTACCTCACTCACGTACTATAAAAAATAGTATGAATCAGTCAACGCGCAGCCACATAGCCTCATTAAGACCGAATAGAGCTAATATTTGCCCACATTCGCGCTCATGGTGGGTGTAACACTAAACCCGCAGCCCGACAGTTTCAGACTATTTTTTTTAAATATTAGTTAAATCCGAACAGAAAGACAAAGTGTATTGTATAACTCTTGAAGAAATATTTTTTTTAACTTGTTCATCCGCTGTACAACACATAAAACATATTATTACTTTTTAAAAGTTATTACTTCGAGTTGTTACTCTACTATGTCGCCTTTTTAATGAGGTAGCGATAAGACCGTCTATTATACTTTATTTATTTTTTGTTTCAATGCGTATTATATATTGCTTGATTAAAGATCGCATCAAAATAGTTTACAATTTTATAATAGTTTTCAGAGGAAGAAAGGCCTAATTATACACGATGTAAGTATACGAAAATCTTTAAAACGTATTACTTAGTTCTTACTTTCTTATCTAAAGCTTAATGTCAGTAATCTTGATTCTCCGTCGAATTTCTTCATTACGAATTTTATCCATTCTTTTTATCATTTTTATGCATTCTTGGCACCCATCTTGCACTATACTTAGACATGCAAAGATGGTCATGGAGAATGTTTAAATTGTCTTAGATGTTACTCCAGTCATTTCAGCGATCTGGTTTTTTTTTAGACGAGCATTTTCAAGAACAAGTTTTTCAACTTTTTCGACAAGGTCTGAGGAAGTTGCCTCAATTGTTCGGCTTAAGCGCTAATCGCCTTCAATTGAGCCTTGTTTGAAAAGGTTATGCCAATTGTAAATCATCGTCTTTCCAGGACAAGAGTCCCAGTAAACAGATGACATTTCTTCCATAATTATATGTGGCGTTTCCTTCGCTTGGTGATTAACTTAATCACGACACGAAACTTAATTTTCCCCACAGTTATCTCAAATGTAAATGATCTGATTTGGCTAAAACTTGATATTTATACCCGTAGTTGAATTAAATCACAGTAGTGAAAGTTAAAAAATTACGCCTCCCCTCTCTAATCTCTCCATTGCACGAAATTTTTGACCTACCGTCATGTCTTTAGCTTAAATACAAATTTATATTAATTAAACTTAAAAATTATTAAATTTTATACAAACATTCATCCCCTATATTATTCCCTTTCAAATAAAACAAAAGCCCAAGTATCTATTTTACCACCTACTAAGATTACTACCTCCTTTTAAGTAAAATAAGGACTGATTTTGTAGTTTTAAAATAATATATTCTATCAATAAATATCATAATTTCGTTTTAATCCCACCACTTTGCAAGTTAAAAACTATTTTTGTAATGAAAAATTTCTTTTCTACCCAAACTTACTTTTATAAAAATTTATTGTAATAGGTACCTGTTTCATCATTTTAATGAAAAAGTCATTCAATATTTTTTTCTCCATATAAATAATAGTAAAATAATTTACTATTGATTAATAACTACTTTTGCTCCATACAAATTTAAACAAGTCTGCCCTCTCCCCTGTAAGGAGTTGTTTTAAATAACCCCATAAAATAAGTATTCATTCATTTTATTAAGTTTCGTTTCGTAATCAATCTGTAATATAAAAATAGTACCTACCACCTACCACCCTGTAATATAAAAAGTTTCATACAACATCCAACATTCTATTTTGGCCTAAGAGCCTAAGAGGTTTCCCAAATGGTGGTGGGAGGTGTCTCGTCATAAAAGGCAGCTGCTATCCGAATTTCAGGTTTTTACGTCGAGTAGTTTGGGCTGTGCATTGTTAGACGAGTCACATCATTCATGACATCTTTTATATCTTTTAAGAGAGTAACATTATGGGAGGGCCTAAAAAAGGAAACATCACAAAAGAAGACCCCACACGAGATGGGTACACGACGTGATTAAGTTTGCTGGCCCTCGGATTTCTATGGTGAATCCTTCGCGTGGATAGGGGTTTTTGCAGATTAGAGTTTAAATGATTGAAAAAATAAGGAAATATTCGGTTTATACTGTAATAAAACTAGAATTAAGTATCTAAAATTATCTAACCTTAAATCATAAGCCATACTGTGCTCAACATTTTTTTCCAATTTTGTAGTTATGTAAGAAATAGCCACTGCTGAATATGGGCCTCCCTCAATGAAGAGGCACGGCACGATCACAAGGCACAGCACGATCCTGAGCTACCTGCATCCGTCGACTTTCTGCATCTCTTACCATGTCGTCTATCCATCTAGTGGGGGCGTCACTCTACACTATTTTTTACGTGGCAGAGCCATGCTGCAGTTATATTAGTAGTATAGTTGTAGCACGAATGGGTCGGCTCGATCGGGGAAGGACCACGCTCTCAGAATAACAGCGTAAAATAGTATATTAATGCTGCTGTGTTTCGTAGGGTGAGTGTAGAGAACCGGAGACCCATTTTACTGGAAACGAGTCATTCCAGTTTAGTCCTCACTCCTCACGGGTGACAACGCATTTTGATTTGTAATTGAGGAAAGATATAGATGTCTATAGGCTACAGCCACCACTTAACATCAGGTAGATTGTGTGCTCGTTCGTCACCCTATCCTATAAATAAAACTTCCCCTACCGGTACGAGGCTGCCACTCGAGAACCTTTTTTCTCCATCGGTTGTCGGTTCTTCGAGCTATATGGCCAGCCTATTGCCATTTCAGCTTACTAATCCGTTGGGCTATGTTGATCACTCTGGTTCTACTGCGGATATCCTCATTTTTGTATCACGCAGAGAAACTCCAAACATAGGCCTCTCCATATCTTACCTAGACGGACTATTTGTTCCAGGTAAACATACTCGTCAAAAACTTCGCGCTTAGTGCTCCCGACAACTACCGAGATAGGTGTTCCATGTACGTTACCTATGATCTTTATTTTGTTCATGTTCATCTTAAGACCTATCCGTTGGGAGACACTATTGAGGACATTGAGCATAGTGCTTAAGTCATCTAGCAATTCTGCCATAAGGACTATATTATCAGGCAAATCGAAGGAGAGTGATTACACCACACACACCATGTTACGTATTCCACAAATTGAGTCGTGTAAAGAACATTTTCGAAAACTTGGCATACTTACGGTTCCCTCTCTGTATAACTTAGTTTCACTTACATATTTAGTAAAAAAATTTACAAATATGAAACGAACGAAGAAAGGAAAAAGAGAGAAATGACACGTCGAAAAGATTTAAAAACTTCAATTACACCAACATTGAATGTTGTACGCCACAGCACAAGGCATCAAAGCCATTGCACTAATTAATTCTTTGCCTATCTCGTTTAAAGTTATTTATTGCCACCAAAAATTTCAAAATAAACTCAAATCATTACTAATTAAGAAAAGCTACTACTTAGTTGACGATTACCTAAATGACAAAAATAAACTTAATGAATGTTAATTTTTTTATGTACTTCTTAATATATTGTAATCTATTATGACATGAAAAATATTTAACTATGACATGAAAAGTATTAAATGTAGAATGATTGTCAAAAGATATTTAAATTTTATTCGATTTTAGTTTTATTTAAGTCAAGCATGTAAAAGTAATTCTTCATTTTGTGTAATTAATTTTCGAATATAATGTAATATTGTTCTATGGAATAAATGACTATGACTATGATTATGAAGTACTTGCCATTGATGAACGGAAAGGATGGAAAAGATGGAAAGGATACGGTATTACCATAACCTTTTCAGTCCAATAGCTTGAAAACATATTCCAATGCAGCTGTGAAGAGTTTTGGGGATATAACGTCACCCTGTCTTAACCCTCTCTGCAGTTGGATAGGTTTCCATCGTAGCCCTACTGTCATCTAGACTTAATTTCCGTCACAGTGGCCTGCTCAACGGAGATTAGCCATCGGTGCAGGACAGGATTATAGTGCCCAAATGTATGCGCAAGCATAGGTGCACTCTCTATTCCCTCACTCTCACAATCCGATGGGACGTTAAACCGACACGCCTGGAGAGAGACCAGGCGCAGGACCAACGGCTTTACGTGCTTTCCGAGGCACGGTGGTGAGACATCGCCAACTTCCTGACTCTGGACAGCTATTGAGAATTTCTTGACAGAAAAACTCAATAATTGATATTTGTCCCGAAACGGAATTTGAGCCCAGGATCTCAATCAAGATCAGCAGTCGCACTACTACAACCACTAGACCAAAAAGGCAGCCAAGTCCTACTGTACATACACTTCAGAACTTCGATATACCGACAGACGACTTGGAACTGTTGAAGAGACTGTAGTACCGCCTAAATTTCGACGGAATCAAAGGTTTCTCATAGCCACATACGAAAGACAAAGTTTCAGGTTGTACTCTTCGTTCTCCTGTACAATTTGCCGAAGGGTATGTATGTGGTCTATGGTACTAAAGACTTTTCAGAAACCGGCTTATTCGGGAGGCTGGAAGTCGTCGAGTCTGCTTGCGAGGCGATACGAAATCGGACTGTAGTTCTTCAATAGAGCGTTGTCGCCTTTCTTAAAAAACAACATCACCGCACTTCACGAGATCAGCAGACTCCACGCCTCCGGAGTAGTCCCACCTTCCTGTGGGGCTGATTTTGGTCAGCTGCTGGCCCTTTGAGCTCCGTTGCCCTATTACGAATTTCTCTATTTTCAGTTCTCTATTGTGCCTAGTTTTGAGTCTCCCATTAATACTGTATAGTGGGTTTTGGAGGAATGCATGGCTTCAGAGATATTCTAATATATTTCCTTAACCTCCTCATCTTTATTTGCTGACGTTGGTGCGTAAACCTGTATGACCTTCAACGAACACCGTTTGGTGATTTTGAGTATCAGGTAGCAACCCTCGTCGACACACTTCCAACCTTTACAACGTTGTTAACGAGACTTGTGGATAATAAACCCGACACCTTTTGGGACAGATGATCGCCTTCGGATGATAGAACAAGTTGCCGGATTCGAGGATTATCCTGTCGTCTCCCTCTCTTCGGACCTCAAATAATCCTATAATACCCC